AATGTGCCCATTGTATATATGCATGCGCACCCATGCAGGCCCGTTGGTGCTCTCTTTTGCACGACACGCACCGCTGCCGTCCTGCCTGACTGCATGGGCGGAGCACCGTAACTGTTTCTGTTTTGTTTTTATTGCATTGAGTGGGCGACCTCTCTCTCTCTCTCTCTCCCTGTGTGTGTGTGTTGCTTTACGGGAGCCATGAGAGTGTGTGCGCTGGTCGTTCCACGCTTCGGCTTTTACTTTTGTTTTCTGTTTTCCTTCTTTGAGTCTCTGCTTGTGTTGTGGGTGCGCGCACCGATTGCACTTTTATTGATTGGTGGGTTGCTTTGTGGACGCCTGATTTTTTTTTTTTTTGCATTCTTATACGGTTTCTCTCTTGTTATTAGTGTGTCAGCCCCTTGTGTCTTTGGCAAGCCACCAATTGCTCTCTTCCACGTACACCTTGCGTCAGTGGGTCCACGTCACTCCGCGGCCTGCAGCGCTTCTGGTGCTGCTGTTGATGTTGCCTGCGTTGTGATTTGCCGGCGGTTGCCGCGTTGTCATCCTGACGTATCCCTGTTTTCTTGTCGATGTGGTGCCTGCCGACAACGCGCGGCAACTCCGGTTGTGGTGAGGGTCGTGCGTCTCAAAGCGCAGGATGCGTCGCAGGTGTGCAGCCTCGCCTGTAAGCACCGATGGGTGTCTGTCCCCGTGAAGACGTCATCAACGGCCCCGGATGACAGCAGGAGGCACTGCGGCATTTTTTATTGTTCCACAGCGACTTTATTGGACGGTACTTTTGCTTTGCAGCTCTTGGGGCCTTTGTGGGAGAAGGTGGGAGGCTGAGGGCATTAGGACTGAATTCTTTTGAGTGGCTGCGTTCCGTTGACTTGCGGCCAGTCGTGGCATTCTTTTGTGTTTTGGCAGCCCGTCTCTTTTTTTGCTTTCCACCGCAGCACGTGGAGGCCACTGATCCGAGGAACATTTGTTTGACCGAGTGTGAGCCGCTGCCGTGCGTGGTGCATGGAGTGACGACTACTTCCGTTTGGCGTGTCGCGGTGCGTCGGAATGATGTTCGGATGAAATGTGAAAGGTGTTGTTTGTGGTTTTTTTGTCTTCTCTGGTGGAGCCGACATGTGTGCGGGGATTGTGGCATTGCTGGCTGGCAGTTCCACGTCACTTTTCAGCATTCCTGGATGTGGTGAGGAATGACGGCTGGCGACCAGCGTGTTGTTGCTGCTGGTGGGAATAAGTGCATCGGGAATAGGCCATTTTCTCTTTTCCGTGCTGGAGCCGATGGACTGGCACGAGGGCACCGGCTGCAGGCTGCTTGCCAGCACGTGTGAGCAGCGGATCCATGCACACACCGACGCTCATCGCAATGGCTTGTGCGATCACAGTGGCCTTTTGTGGCGTGCTTTTGTGGACGTCAGTCCATCGAAGAATGCGTGAAGCAAACGGCTGACTGCACACGAGGAAAATAAGTGCGTGCACTGTGCCGTGTTTCAGCGTCGATGGCAGAGCGGCAGGAAGCCCGTGCTGGCAACTGAGATCTTTGCGTCGCGAGGGATGTCGGTGTTGATTTTGGGTCGTCGAGGGTGAAATGATTTTGCTGCTGCCCGTGTGTGTGGCCACTCCGGCAGAGGGCGAACGCAAACGGGAGGGATGCAGGCGCTGCGTGTGTGTGCAGGTGCCATGCAACAACGTCACAACAAACATGCTGCGACTCGGTGACCCTCACATCGTTGTGGTCCTCACGAGCGGCCCAGGCACGGCCCGCATCGATGCACTTAGTGGACTGAGTGAGGCATCTTTTGAGGCGCTGCAGGGAACAGGATGTGCTGACGCAGCCACGACGTGCATGGAGTGTCACGATGGCACAGTCAGCTGTGGCTTGTGGAATATTTACTTCTCGGAGGCAACAGAGAGAGAGAGAGAGACCTGCTGCTGGCGTCGTTGCTGCCTTTTGTGGCCTCCCATGCCGATTATTGTCTGTCCGCTGATCATGGGTGGCATGCCTCCACTAGTGACGTCGTCTGCAGGCATTTCACAGCACCAGTGAAACACACATCACGTCGCATGCTTTGGCTGTGGATGTGGTGTCGTGCATGCAGCCGGCATTATTTTGCCCGACTCCTTTTCACTGCCTTGCGACAAATAGATGCGTCACCGCCCGAGTCGTTCACTGCGGCTCCGTGTGCTGTACTGCCAGCACAAGACTCTCCTGTTGTCTGACGCCTGGCTGACAGTCAAACACCACTGCGTTGGGACATGCAAGGATGTGGACTGCCGCTCACGGTGTTGGGCACCGCTGTTTGGATGCGGCGGCCACACGAGCGGATGTATTGTGGCACAATCAAATGCGTGAAATACGCGGAGTCACAGCGGCTGCAATATTATCGACGGTGTGGCACCACGGGGAATGTGTGAGGGGGTGATGCATGATGAATCACAGCGGGCGGCATGCGAGGGAAGTGCACCGCGACGGAGCGTCATCCCGCCCTCAGCCTGCAGGGGAATGTACACCCACAAAATATATGGACGAGACACCACCAAACAGACATGCCCTTCCATGCACCAATAAATAAGAGCGAAGGTGCGTTCTGGTGTGTGGGAGTCCACTCACATATTTTCATTTCCACCGCAATAAACGGTGAGGAATCGGGTGCCACAGCAACGAAAAGAATAAATAAAAACGTCTATTGCAGCACCTTACCAGCGGAAGGCAGGAAGAACACAAACCGAATTATTGGCTGCACCAACACAATAAAAAATGCACAAGAGGAAAAAAACAAATTGTGCACCCTGCAGTAATCCCAACACACGACCCAGGCATGAAGGTTTGCACACACTCAAAAAAAAAACAGCATTCAGACATCTGCCAACATCCAAAAAGAAACACAAATAAATGGTTGCTTTCTTTATGCCATTCCCTGCGCTTATTTTTGAGTGTGCGTCTGCTGCGGTGGTGGCCGTGCCTGCATGAGATGGTCTGCGATGAATGTGGACGAAGGCCTACGGCAACTGAACTGTTTTTGTGTTGAATATTGGCTGCACTTCCCGTGGACCAACAATCCGCGTGGTGTGCGAGGATCTCCTTTTTTTATTGTTACTTTGCTTTTGTGTTGCTGTGTGCGCTGCACCTTCTTGTGTGTGTGCGCACCCTCCGTGAGGGGTGCCGACACGACGGACCGCTCTCGCCGCATGTACATGCGGTGGAGCCTTGTGTGCCGCTCCTGTTTGCTTCTCCCTCTTCCATCTGTGTGTTGGTGTTGTGGCAGGGCTGTGTGTGTGTGTGCCTGCTGCCGTGGATTGGAGTGTGTGTCGTGCGTGGTGTGCGGCGTACGGTGCATGCCTGGCTGCTGCCCTCTCCTCATGTGGTGTGCTCTCTGTGTGTGTCTGCTGCACCTCTCGTCTCCCCTGTTGCTCTCCATGTCCCTCACTGTGCAGATCAGCTCCACACCACTGAACGACCACACTCACGATGATGATGACGTGCCGTCTGCTGTGCGCCCTGTTGGTGCTTGCCCTGTGCTGCTGCCCGTCCGTGTGCGCGACAGATTCTACGGAGGCCACTGAAGGTCAAGCTGTTACTGGGGTTGAAGATGTAGAAGAACCCACCAGCTTGAGTTCTTTGTCCTCTGAGTCGCAAGTGGAGGACGATTTCGATGAGGAACGGGATTCAGGTACGGGGTCCGGTGAGGACAGGGGAAAAAACGTGCCAGTGCCCCTAGTTTCTTCCGGTGCCGTAATGCAATCAAATGAAGCGAAAATGCCGGTACAGACAGGAGATAAGAAAGGTACGACAGAAGATAAAAATGATACAACAGCGCCAAAGTCGCGAAGTAAGGGGTCCACTGCGGAACAGGGAAAAGCTGACGTAGGTGGTGGAAAAGGTTTGACAGCTCCGGAACGGCAGTCAGGCGATGTTATCGATACGGTACACTCAGATGATAGGAGTACGACAGGGCCACAGAGCCGCACGAGTACTTCCGCAGACCAAACAGATCAAGATGCCAACGATGCTGCCGCGACGACCACGACGACCACGACGACAAAGGCACCAACGACGACCACCACCACTACAACACAGGCACCAAGCACTACGACTACAGAGGCGCCAGCCACTACTACGACCACCCGCGCACCGGCAAGTCTTCGCGAAATCGACGGCAGCCTCAGCAGCTCTGCGTGGGTGTGTGCCCCGCTGGTGCTCGCCGCATCCGCGCTGGCGTACACCGCTGTGGGCTGAAGAGGTGTGTGCGGGCTGTGCGTGCCAGCACTCAACCGCGGGGATTTGTGCGCGTGTGTTGTGGTTCACTGTATAAAATAAGAGGAAATAATGATTGTGTTTTGCTTTACTTGCTTCTGCTGCCGTGCTGTGTGCTCCGCGTTGTGCCCCGCATCCGTCACGTTGAACGCAACCCAGACACACTCATATGCATGGCACGCACACAACTGTTTGCGTGGATTCACATTTGAGGATGGGTGCGTGCGCGCTGGAGCCATACTGTGCAGCCCTTTGTTTTGTGTGTTCACATTTTTTACTTTATTGCTGTTTTTTTATCTGCGCTTTGTTTCTAATTTCTTTTTTTTGTGTTTTCTGTTTGCTTGGTGCGGGGCGTTGTGTGTTTTTGCCCTTTCACTGATTTCAACTGGCTCATGGTGTGTTTGCGATGCCGCTGCTGGGCTGCTGCCATTTGTTGCTGGATGGGACAGTGCGTGGCTATGTGACTTGTTTCTTTTTTGCTTTTGCTCTGCGTTGAC